GAGAGAGAGAGAGAGAGAGAGAGAGAGAGAGATTGTGTGTGTGTGTGAGAGAGAGAGAGTGTGTGTGTGTGTGTGTGTGTGTGCGTGTGTTTTTTTAAAAAGCCGTTCACTCATCTTCCATCCGTTATTGTGTCATTATAAATAGAGCCGAACACTCCTACAAAATACAATCTCCTTGCGGATGGTTGGAGGCCGCCACTGGTATGTCCTGCTTCTTTATTACCCCTCTGGTATTTCTGTCTCTCCGTCTTACTTTTTCCCCAGCACTAAATGAGCATTATTGTGTCGACGTGCATCTCTTTACTCAAACAAACGAACAAACAAACAGACTCCTTTCTTTTCTTTCGCTCGCTCTGTTCTGCCTTTTTGTCTATCTTTCTCCCCCAACCCTTCACTGAATAACCATCTTTGTGTTGACATTCTTCTCGTTTCTCAGTGGTAAACAAATAGAAATAAACGAACGAACGGAAGTTTTGAGTAACGGATAGACACAGGCCATACGTACGTGGTCCTTGGCGTTGATAGTCAGGGGGAATGTCTCTAGGATGTGCGCTGTGATCTCCGGTTGACCAAAGATGACCGCCTCATGCAGCAGCGGCAGGTGACCGGGGTCCAGAGCCTCGGCGAGGGACGTTAGCTTTGCCGTAAGCTCCTTCACATCCTCCAGCCGCCCTTCTCTCACAGCACTGTGCACGCCACTGATCTGTGTCTGCTCATGACAGTGGCAACTTTTAAAAATTTGTTTTCGTTCCTGAGTGTGGTATGTATTTATTTAACTATGAACCTTTTTAAGTAATGAAGAATATTCGGCAACGTGCATTTCAAATTTGAGACTGCAATATAGATATTATATTATAGCGCTTTTAATTAATCACAAATATACCATCGCCCAGACAAATTAAACGCCAGATACAAATCTGTCGAAAATATGAATAATGTTAGACATGAATGAGTCCTTTCAACGATGAGGCGTTCAGCTGAGTGATTTCAATAAAAGCATCCTCCTTCCACGTCTACTTCTCTCTCTCTTCATCCCACCCCTCACAAACTGACTCTCCCGTCCATTCCTTATAATATACTCACGATACACTCACTCACTCACTCACTCGTCCCTCTCCCCCCTCTCTGTCTCTCTCTCTCTCTCTCTCTCTCTCTGTCTCTCTCTCTCTCTGTCTCTCTCTCTCTCTGTCTGTCTCTCTCTCTCTGTCTGTCTCTCTCTCTCATCCTCCCTCTCACCCTCTCACATGTTCACATGTTCTCTTTAAACTCTTTCCCTCTTATCGCCACCCTGTCTCACTTACTGACACACTCACCAACCCATTGACTCCCTCTCTCTTTCATTCCTTCTCTCCCTCCCTGTCTCTGTCTCCATATATGAACGATTTCTCCGTATCTTGGGTTGTGCCGGTTGTTTTCCTGTATCCGTTGCCTCCCACGAGAGCGAGTCCATCAAGCCCCTTCCTACACCTCCCACCTTCACCCTCCCCTCACTCACTCCGTCACACATCCACTCCTCTCCCGCACCCACTGATCACCGCCACCCACCCTCTCCTCACCCCCACCCATTCCTCACCCCCAGTCACTGATCACCTCACCCTCTCGCTCTGATCACCCCCACCCACCCCTCACACTGCCACCCACCCAATCCTACCCCCACCCACTCACTCCTAACCCCCACCACCACCACCTCCTTCACTGGGCATTAACTGACTCCCCTCCTTTAAACTCCTTACCTGGAGCTCCTCCAGTTGTTTCACCTTGTCCCTCGCCTCCTCTGGGAGAGATTCCATCAGCTCAGACGACAGTGACAGGTTTACCCGCCACCCGGACAGGACAAGCTTTTCCAGGGCGCTCCCCTCTCCCGCCTTCAGGAGAGGTAGCAGAATACCCTCCTCTCTCGCCTTCTCACCCAGGGCATCAGCTGCACTTTTGCCCTCCTTTGGAGAGAAAGAAAGAAAAACAATAAAGGGGAAAGAAAGATGGCGGGGATGGTGTGGTCGGTCAGTGTTGTGTTTGGATTCTGGTCTATTTTTACCATCTAATTACAATAATCTGTTGGGTTTTTTAAAATATCTGTTTGTATTGATAGAGAATAATGCGAGGCTTAGGGGGTGGGAGACAAATTAATTCACTTTCTCTCTCTCTCTCTCTCTCTCTCTCTCTCTCTCTCTCTCTCTCTCTCTCTTTCTCTCTCTCTCTCTCTCTCTCTCTCTTTCTCTCTCTCTCTCTTCTCTGTCTCTTTCTTTCTCTCTCTCTCTCTCTCTCTCTCTCTCTCTCTCTTTCTCTTCTCTGTCTCTTTCTTTCTCTCCTCTCTCCCCTCACTCCCCCCCTCTCACTCCCCCCTCACGCTCCTTCCCCGCTCACCTGGTCGAGTTGGGCAATGTTGAACCCCTTGTCCACGAGAGCTTTCAGCAGCGTCGGCACGGCGTCCGGTGAGCCGGCCATCAGATGCTGCACCACGTGATGTGCCACTGTCCGGCCTAGGTCATCCGTGAGCTTCCCCAGCTCCTCCTGGTCAGCTAACTGGATGAGTTCCAGAGCCTTGTCCGCCTCGCCGGCCGACAGCTGCTGGATGATGTCCGAGTCTGTCATGGTGGTGTGCTGGGGTGACTCTGGGGGCGGGGGGGGGGGGATTTGTCACGACGAAGTGGAATAAGGCGCTCGTCAATTTTTGAGCATCTGGAGTGTTTGGTTTCTCCTTAAAGCGTGTTCATTTGTCTTGGTTTTGATGAAAATATTATCTATGTTGAATAAAACTCGAGATACATACTGATAAAAGAGGTGGGGGATAGCCTGGTTTCAAATGTAACATTAGCGAGAAAATAGCTGCCAAACTGTGACTTTTAAGCTTGCGAGTCTTTGGGAACAGCAAATGTACACTTTTTGTGCCTTTTACCAACGTTTTTCAGTAAAATTCACATATAAATGTGTTTGTATGTATAGTATAAGGTTTTACGCCCCTCGCAACTGCTAAGGTCATATGAGCGCGCAAAAATGTGTTTATATATTATACACATAAAAGGGGTTGAGGAAAACAAAAATCCATCAAAATCGCCAAACTTACAGGAAAGTGCATGTTTCTCCGGTTTCGTTATTTTGAGGGGCGCCTAAATTTCACCACGATGCCTCACAAAATGAAATGTTCTTGGTTACTTGTTGTAGCGTGGACAGTTCGCTACCATAGGCTTACCAAGTTGTATCTGCTCAATATCTAGTTTTGGCGTTAACAATTTTGAGTTTCACAACATCTCAAGCTTTTTCGAATGCAATTCTTTGAATGTCTTGATAATGACTCAGAAAAATCTCACAATTTTGATATTACAGATAGAACATTTATTGGTGTCTGACATCATGGTCTTAGTAACTAAAAACGGCCAAAATAAGTGTCAGAAATAACTCCCCGAATCAGTTTGTGTGTGTCCGTGTTTGTATGTTTCAGGTACCGTTTTGTTAACCCTACTGGTTTTTTAATCTGCACCTCGTTTCTGCCTTCAAACTGTTCTTAAGTGTCCAGATTCAATGCGATCATTGATTTATTATTGTTGTACGACCCATGGACGCCTACACGTGTCTGTGGCCTAGTCAGTGGTTAGGGTACCAGACCCGTAATCGTGAGATTGCGGGTTCGGGGCTCGAGCGTCAGCTCGGTCCGACGTTGTGTCCTTGAGTTGATAGGGGGTATTAAAGCTATCTATACCTTTTCACCATTTTTATTTTTTGACGCAGTTCACTTCTGTTAGGGGTTTTCTCCAAACCTGTAAGATCCGAGCTAGTAGTCAACTCGGTTTGTGCTGTAAATTCTCTGCAACTGTACGACCATGATTATGTGGACGGGCATCTCTGCAACTGGATCTCTCAGATTGCTCCTATTATGTGGTTTCAATCTTTGTCAAAGGGTTGTTGTTGCTGTTTGTTTTTTGTTTTTTGTGGGGGGG